GGGCCGCTATTAATAAAATGAAAAGATCAAAACTCTCCTTAGGTCAACTAAATGGATTGCTCGGGAAGTTACTGTATCGAATTCATGTACAGTAAATACCAGGGCGTTGAAGCGACGGTAAGAGCAACAATGATTTTGCTCGGTCATGGATACAGAAAGATCGGTGCTGGTTAGACCTCGTTGCCCTGTTTAGCCGAATTAGTGGCTAGAACACAGGAGAACGACTCGCCCCATGCGGGAAAAATGTATGAAAAGGAAGGATCCCAATGAACAGAAGATTAGATAAGTGAACTGGAGGGGTTGAGGATGAAATGGAAGCCAGGCCGCACAAAGTTAGTAATAGGACCTACACATAAACTAACCAATTGTGACGTGAATTATAGAATTCAGATCTACTCATGTCCACTTGAGAATTTCAGTAGAGGCGAAAATATCGAAACAAGCGATGGTAGAGGGAGGTGTTGGTATAACAAATGGTCATATGAAATCGGATTGATGAGTGAGGACGAAGCATCTAGGAATGTACCAAGTCGCAGGAATATGTACCTTCTTCAAGGTCACTCTGTCGCCACGACTAGTTTGTGGAGGCAAACTCAAACCAAGCCTATACAACTAAAGTGGACTGTGACCAAACTCTATGCGTACGAAGTGTATCATTGTGAAGACTTTCATTTCGTATAACAGTGCATGAGGAAGAGGTTTGTTGGTTGATCCCATCGGAAGACGACGGCCAGTCCCCGTTGATATGGGCATTTATGTTGACGCGATCCACGAGACATCCTCCCTCGTTTGGGGTGAAAATTGGCTGAGCTTTCGTCCATTATGTGATGGACATCATCAGAGTTTGAACTCATTCTAGCAAAGTACCAAGAATACTGTCCCGCTCTATCCCTCATGTTATAAATACTCAAATGAAAAAGATAATATTCGGATGCAGATAGAGAGATATATCGAAAGATTTGGTCACTTCTCTTTCGTATTAGTCATGTTACCTGTACTTGAGTGTGTCTGTCTGTGCCATAGTACCTTTCATTTCGTTTGAAGAGGCGGGCCGAAGGGATTCGTAAGTTGGCCTCACTGGGAGCTGAAGGGGGATTGTGGCGGAGTTGTGACTGTAGACTTTTGCCGATAAGTCTTCATCGCGCCAGCCCACGGCTCCGAGCTGCGTCATGTGACCAACCTTTCTTGTCTTCAGGATTGATCAATAATCGTAAGTAGTGACGGACGAAAGAGAGCCCTCGCCTCTTCAAACAACAAGAAATTCTTCGAAAGCCCCTCTATATGTCTGTATGTGTGTTTTTGTCTTTATGTACGTGCATGCGTGTGTGTGCGTGTGCTAACATCTCTACGCGGTACCGTTCCTAAATCAGAGTACTTGCAAGTGCATAACATTTTCTTGTCTTAGTTGTAAGTTGAGACTCTTGCAAGAATGGAGGATGTCTTGTGGACTACGTCAACCTTATTGTCGCAGCAAAGCTGAACAACAGCAGAACAACGGGACTCGGCAGCCGCCTTCCTGTGAAATCAGCAAGTGAACATTTTCCTCAGGAAATTGTGTACGAAATGAAAGTCTACACGACAATGTTGTCCTAAGAAAGACATCGAATCTGTGCGCAGAGTAGTCCGGTTTCTTATCACCTGAAGCCGTTTGCAGGAATAAGTTCCGGCTCGGTCGAATGTCATGAAGGTCGAAAGCTCAGCCCGTTTCCACCCGAACCAAGGGAGGATGTCCCTCCTGGACAGCGTCAACTTGAAGGTCGTGGTAAAGCCGATGAGATCGATCTACAAAGCCCTTCACTCCGCACTGCGATCAGAACAAAAGAGAATTCGAAACAGACACCTCAAAGGGTTCTTGGTACTTCTTCATCAGGCGGAGGAAAATTGCACGGATTCAAACCGACTCATCTTCGTTGAACAAAAAAGGGGCATTGCTATGTTGATGATGGATGCCGGCTTCGAGCAACCGTGAGACGATCCGATATCGACGTGACGGAAGCCGCATTCCAGCCTGAAAGAGAAGCAGCCAATAACCGCATGGGAAAACTGCAAATCTTTATCAGCCTATCTCGTGTGACATTGGTGTGCAATGGCAATAATCAAGGTCGATTTGGAAACAAGCCACGGCGTATGTGGCTGTTTTGGCTGTTTTGGCTGTTTTGGGATGTGCGTGGGGGCTGGCGTGGCAATCGGCTCAGGCATGCGAGTGCAGAATTGGGCGGTCGAAAATTGGGCTGAGACATAATCGATCAACAGCCTCCGCCTTTAAAGCCGACACAACGCCATTTTGCTCCAATCCGACTGGCGAATCAGATTGGTCCTGAAACTGATCGAACAATCCCCTCTGCTGATTGGCCCGAAGTCAGTTGGGACCGGTTCGATATACGCCATTTGTGCCATTCACGCCAGCTCGTCTATGGGCGTGTAAAGTCTGCCCTCACTGGGCGTCGAGGCGTTAATGCACAACCAGCCTCGGCTTAGTCGTGCTCGTTGGGTGTGTGTGTGCATGCGTGTGTATTAGCGCGCTCGCTAGGGCACCAGGCCTATCACTGCGTCTATCTCGGACTCAGTCTGTCCAGCCTGCCCTCGTGCGCCCTGTTCTGTCTTGCCCTCGGCGCTTGTGTCCTATTCTGGCCTGTCCTACCGAATAATGCTATTTCCTTTCCGCCTTGCACCCACCATCCAAAATCGCCACTACCGACTGCTTCAAATACTCTTCCCTCGGCCGGCCTCCGCATCCCTGCATCTTCGCATCTGCGAGTCTTTACAACTTCACGTCTCCGCCTCTCTCATACACCGTTTGTTTTAGCCTCAATTTGCGTCAAGTCCTTCCATTACTACAACCAGCTTCGACGACATGGCGAATCGAGTACAGGATTACGGTATGGACGTAGCCATTTCCAGGAAGGTAGGTCACTATGCTTGTTCAATCAAGCACTCCTTTTCTGCCTATTCTGCGGGTATGCATGAGTACAGTGCCACTGACGGCATGCTTTATTTTTCCAATTTTATTGACATCACGTCAGGGTGGCCTGTTGTGGTACAGCTTACATTTGTTTATGTGTGATTTATAAAATGAGTTCATTTTATTTCGTTTATCCCCATACTGTTCCCGTTCAATATTTAGTTTATGTTACGCCTAATACGTAGCCATTGCTCAACCTCCTTTTGGCGCAGAAATCACGTGAGTGCGTGACTAATCTTGACCCTTTATTTCGCGTCGTCCAATCAGAAGTTGAGATTAAAAACTACGCAAGGGTATTTCAAGTGTGCCAACCCACAAACGTCGTGGTTCAACATGTAACCTAATCACAGCCAACAGTACCACAACATTTGTGGGTTGGCACACAAGCAACTAGAGCATGGTATTAAGGATAGAGACAGGACAGACGAGGCAGCGATTGGAGCTAGTTGGCTGACAGAAAGTTTTACAAGAGACGTGGTCCATGTACCAAAGGCATGACCATGAGACTTACTCTGAGGCTTTAGCCTCTATTTAATCACCCAGGTGCAGGGGATGGACAAATTACGCCTCGAATAGCACAGGGGTCGAGTGAAATACATATACCAGGAAGATAGCATACGGATTCGACGGGGCAAGAGGGAGAATTTGATAGGACACAGGGCAGTAATACGTAACAATATGACACACTCTGGTCAACATTCCCAGCACAAGGGTGAAGGGGGTGATAGCGACTGTGTGGAGTGTGAAGGGTTTTC